TTTTTTTTTTTTTTTTTTTTCGCAACCTAGTTTTATTATGGGATGTTCAGACCACTTTTGTTTATCGTACAATTTTGTCAAACTAGATTGTCAAACTGAAGAAGAAACAACTCAGAAATGAAAAGTTGGTTCGATGTAAAAGTTTATAAAGAACTTATTCTAGTTGATGAACTGTTGGCAACTCAAAATGTAGAAGTATCTTCACTATAACTTCATTGGATGTTTTCCGTAAATCACTGGCCTCTTTCGTGACGTTTGGTCTCTTTGCAGCAATGGGGCAGTGACCACCTTGCAATTGCATGCGAACTTGCTTTACGTCGACGACGGCGAAAAAAATTTTTGTCCTAGCACTTGAGCTTGAAGAAAGCCGAATGGCGTAAATGATCTATCTACAAATAAAAGAAATCTTCGGTGTTTGCACGGGCGCAGATTCATTAGTGAATTTAGTTTTATTCTTTATATTTTTATTTTCCTGTCAAAATTGAATTTGGATTTAACTAGTTGTATACATTAATGTTAATTTTTTATTTTATTTATAATTTTTTTGTTTTTTTCCATGGACTATTTGTTTCCTGCCAGTTTTATGCAAATGCTTCATTATATGAAAGTTTCTGCAGACAATCCCACCAAACAAGCTCACTTTTTTTTTTTTTTTTTTTCTTTTTTCCTCTTTGCTTTCTTCTTTTGAATTGTTTTTAATTTTTAAATATAATGAGCATATGATTGAATACGTAGGGTATGAGAGTTGAGAGCCGAGTTGGGCCCGGCTCGGGTTTTGGTCATGTCTAATTTGAGGGGAGATTTGGATTTTATTTTGAATTTGTGAATATAAATTATATAAAATATAATTATTAAAGTTAGGGTGATGTAAAATAATAATAATTGAAAATGATTGGTAATAAAAAATATTCAAGTGGATGAATGATGAATTTTGTTGAAAATTGTGTAATAACGAATTGATATTGTTTTAATTTACATTAATATTGAGGAGAGTTAAACTTAGTTTTTAGTTGCATTTTGAGTTAAAAATTTATATGCAAATCGTAATTTTAACTTGTATTTAAGTTGGGGTGGGCTCGAGCTCCAAAGCCATGCAATTGGATATAATTTTCATGTGAAAATAAAAATTCTTTGTCTACAAAGTAAATTAAAGAAAAATGAAAAATAAAGTGTTTTTTTTTTTAAAAAAAATGATATACTATTTTGATTTTATAAATGTATATAAGATGAAAATATAATTGTAAAAATTGTTGCAATATGAAATAATAAAATAGGGAGAATATACAGTCCCGTTACAAAACCATTCTTACGAGATTTATATCCGTTAGATCAACTATCCACGACAGTTACATGATGATCTAACTGTTATAAATCCCGACAGAATGGTTCCGTAACGAGACTGTAACATTTCCTAATAAAATACTAACTGATATAATTGATAGTTAGAAATATACGAGTGAATAGATATTATTATTATTATTATTATTATTATTTACTAGTAAGATCTAGGTGAAATTGTAATTTTTATATATTGGTTTGATCTAGCGACATTTTTAGTATTGAGAATTTAACATTTTTGCTATTTGGTCTTATGATTTTAAATTTAATTGCAATTTGAGAAATGACTGAAATTGCAGCAAAATACTAAATTGCATGATCAAAAGACAAAATATCGAAATTTTGGAACTAAAAATGCTACAACGTTAATCCAGCAAGACTAAAAATCCAATTTTGCCTAAGATCTAAGATGGAATCAATAGTATTTTTGTTAGAAGTGTTTTGTTTAGTTAGCTTTTTTGGTTTTTACTCAATTATCAAATTCTATTAAAAAAAAAAAATTGTTAATTCACATTATAATTTTATTTTTTTTTTAAAAAAACCAACACTATAAATTTTTCCTTTTTCTTGGTAATAATCCTCAAATTATCTTCATCATCCGCATAACGTACACCACCCAAAATATTCCCCTTCACAAACGGAGTAACAATGGCCCTCGCCGGTAGTTTGAGTCGGATCATCTGCAGCACGCCGCACGGCGCGCCGTGCATCCGCATCGTCCTCCTCCGGCCGCCGCTAAACCCTTCGTCTCCTTCGCGGCGAGCCTCGAATTTCATCGTCTCCGCGAAGGGGTCGAGGACCGGAAAATTCGACAGCAAGAACCGGAGAAACAGTCCTTTCACGACGACTAAGGAGGAAGAAGAAGAAAAAGAATGGTCTTTAGGAGAGGAAGTGAACGGCGCCGACGAGTTTGGTGCCAACGCCGCCGTTGATGACGGATTTGTCGTGCCGGAGCTTCCCGGGGATAAGCCGGACTTCTGGGAAGGTCCCCAGTGGGACGCTCTAGGGTTTTTCGTTCAGTATATGTGGGCTTTTGGCGTTGTTTTCGCGGTAAAAGTTCATTCTTTTCTTTCTTTCTTTATTGTTTGTTTGTCAGTTTTAGCTTAGTTTTTGCTTTGGTTTTGCTGATAATTATATGTTTGAAATTTTATGAAGATTCGTACTGAACTGTTAGATCACGTTGTATGTATCTCTTATATGCTTAAAGCTTGTGACTTGTGAGATGTCAGATTGATCTTCTACTTGTTGATGCAGAGGAGACTAAGGCCATATGCAAATAACCGTGTTTTTAATTTTTTTTCAAGAATCATCTAGGAAACTCTTTTTAGATAGGTTGATAAAAGGAGAAGTCTTGGTTAAGGTTAGTTTTGTGATAAAAGATTCCGGCCCTTATGAAAGGTTATACGAGAGGAAGTATGATGCTTCTTGTGGAAAATGGATAGCCAAGACTTTTGAGAAGGGTGGCCATGAAAATTATTAGAATTTTTTTCACGCAAAACGCGCTCGATGTGAAATTCGGATTTTATGACATGGGTGTTTGATAGAGCAAATTGACTTGATGAAACTTCAGCAATCTGTTGAGGGAAAATATTTTAGTTCCAACTACATAGTTCAAGTCCTTGTGCCAGGTGCAACGTTGTGTTTTAACATACTGATTTTCTTGCTTTTTGGCCGTTTTGTTTTAAGTATATCTCTGCTAAAGCTGCTGAGACTCTTATTTTAGTGACAGATGTATAATATGTCATGTTGATAATTTTAGATAAAAAAATGTCCGATTCTGAGTCATGTAGTAGATTATATGATAAACCTTCACTCATTTCCTTTCGTTCTTATATTTTAGTAGGCAGAACACTAAAAGAACCGACTTTTCCTACTGTTTTCTGCAATTTCTTCTGCCTTCTAATCTTACCGAAATCTGAAAATATAAATTGAATTATGGCAAGAAAGATCCTGTACTGTAACTTTCTACGAGAAATACGGCTAACCAGCTAATACTGCAAAGATCAATGTCTTTCCCAAATGTATTTTCTATTAATCCTAGTGAATTATTCGATTGTGCAGTTAGTTGCTTGTGGTGTAGCTGTGGCTACGTATAACGACGGAGCAACAGATTTCAAGGAAACTCCCGCATATAAGGAAGCAATACAATCACGGGACCTTGATGAATTAGATGATGCTGCCACCTCAGATGTATTCGAGTCGAACCCAACAGAAGAAGCACCAAGCTTGGAGTAGATTTTCCTTTTTTTTTTAATAAATTTTTTTTTTCTTCAACTTTGTATTTTCAAACCTAAAGATATCGTTGAAAGGAATATGTATAGGCATTGGAGTATATGTCTTCAAGTGTTCGCCTGTAGCCTTTTTTACCTTTCGAATTTCTTCCATGTGTAATATTCTTACTCTCCTTTTCAAACTAATCAATATTTTGGAGATTGGGATCCCTCTGGTTTTACAACTATTCAGTTCCTGATGTGTGTATTCGTGTTTATAGACATTTGTTTGCCGTATAAATTTACTGCATTATAAGTTATAAGTTACAACTCCTTTGTTTAAGTTCTTCCCATTTCACCTTTCTTTGCTAGCCCCTTGACTCGACTCTCGTGTGATGGGTTTCGTGTGGACTGTGGATAAAAACTTGAGTTATCTAAACAGGTATACTGTTGTAACTTTTAACTCTAGTAGTGACATTGTTATTGAGTAAAGCAGGGACTTTTCCAGTGGGGCGTGAACCGAACGAACCATCTAATCCAAGATTCGTCATTTTTTCTATATTGGAGCATGATGAGCTGGCATTATTATACAAGTGGCAGCTACCATCAGCATCAGCATCAGCATCGACACGTGATGTTTTGCTTTCAGCCTTACTTCTGCACTTTGATGTAAGCCGATGCCTTTGAAATTCGGCCTTTGAGTCATTGTCCATATTGGAGAAGAAGCTGAAAAAAAAGAAAAAACATAAAATTTCATGAATTTTGCAGGAATCATTTTGAAGTGAGAAAAGGCTCCACCAAAAGACAAACTACAGATTTTTGACCTGACACGACACTCGAATTAGGCTTCGGCCCAGAAGAGTCTCGAGCAGGAGGAGCAAGGGAAGGTGAGGAAATTGCTCCTAACAGAAGAAAAAAAAAAGGTTGTTCAGTTAGCTCATAAGATTAAAGATTAAGACAACTTCAAAATTTCTTGCTTTTGCTCATTAAGGGGGTGTTTGTTTATAATTTTTTCCAATTCCTCAATCTATACTCAAAATATAAGTAACTTGAACTTAATCTCACTATCCTCAATATTAATTATATAATTATATAATATCAAACAATCATTCTTACACATCCCATCAATTTTAATTCACTATTCATTCATTCACATAATTTTAACTAACCATAACTTTCCATCACATATCTCCTACTTTTACATCTAATCAACTTTAATTGTTTTGTTTTAAATATTATTTTAATATAAACTCAAAATCTCACTAACAACTAAGTATATCAACTTTTTCAAAATTAACTACACTTGACCAAAAAAACTTGTTTTGAGCGGATATATTTGAATTCAAGCATGCCCTAAATTTTTGTTTTTCTTGTCTTCTGAAAAAATATAGTACCTCTACATGTGGACACGTCGAAACCGAGATGGCAAATAGCAGGTAACTGAAGAGCGAGTGTAGTGTTGATTGGAAATGCAAACAACAAATCCGAGTCATGGAGCAAAAGGCAAAGGCAACCGGGCCTCTGGCTATGGATCTGGTCCAGGCCATGGCAGCACGATTGAGCCGGATGAGCCGCATTGCCCTGCACAAACGGCCCGCATGAGGCCAAAGGCAGCAGGCTTGGCCCACATTCGGCAATCGTGTCCTGGGCCAATGCTTCGAACGAGAGCCCAATGGTAAAAAACACCAGAACCAGAAAGGGAATATGGGATTGGTGATGATGATGATGATGATGATGATGATGATGATGAGACATTATAACTGTTGTTATTATTTGGGTTTTGGTTGAAAATAAGAGTCTTGCTTTTGCAGTTTGCTATTGTTTGAGATGTGATCAAGCTCATAATAAATGTGAGCCTCTGAAAATGGTGGGTGTTGCATAAGTTGATCATGATTTTGCAGAAGTTCATGCTCCATGTGTGTGAATAAAGTACTGTTAAATTAAACGAGAATAACTAAACTCGGCTCGCTCGGCTCGAGCTCATTTAAAGCTCGTTTCCCTCTGCTCGGCTCGATAAGGCTTGAAAAAAACAAATATATAAGTTTCTATAGCTCGGCTAGTTATTAGTGATAAACGAGCAGAACTCGAGCTCGATTTCTGGCTCGTGTATTTAATGAGCCGAGATCATTTTAACTATTATTGAGTTTGTCAAAGGCTTACAAGAGACCAAAAAAAAATCATTTTAATTTACATCAGTTTTAAAACTACAAGACTATTATTGAGTTTGTCAAAGGCTCTCTTTTTTGTTTTTTTTTTTTTTTTTTTTTTTTTT